AAATCCGTCAAATATCAGTGCATTTCTATCGAAACATTATTAACATAAACGGTACCATTTTTTCTGCACTAGAGGCGTATTTCGACAACCAATGTCTCTTTAGTGATGCTCGAGGCCTAAATATTTGAAAATCCAAAGCTTATCAAAAGGACGAAGAGCTAAAAACAAAAAAGGACAATAAAAGTATAGCCAACACCGGGCAAGGAATCAGAGTCTTGCATGAGGGAGATACATTTCTTAATTTAAAGTAATAACACAAATTTTGTAACAGCAAATTTTAGTAACACACAATCCGTATGTATATGCCGGTACTGGCTAATATGATGGTGATACCCTCGAGAACTATCAGGCCACCAGCAGAGCCATCGACCCAGTGGTAGTAATAACATAAACGGTACCATTTTTTCTGCACCAGATTGGCATTTCGACAATCATTGTCTCTTCAGTGATGCTCGAGGCCAAACTATTTGAAGATTCAATGCTTATTAAGAATGTGATGCCCTAACCATTTTGAAAGTAATATTCTGGTATGTCTATTTTACCAAAGCATAGCATAACTTTTGGAATTTTAGGTACTCAATACTCTTTAACTTCGTACAGTATTTGGCGTTTTTTTCAACTTTTTGAAACGAATGTCACTGATAAAAACAATAAAATCAGGTTCAACCCACAATAATTTTCTTAAAATATCCTGTACTGAGTCAGGAATATAGCAGTTGTTATCAAATAGTTTGTTTCTAACTAAGTTGGCGTTTGTTTCTGTTGCAGTCAAGTGTTTCTGTTATGTCGTTGTTTTCCTCTTATAATCATGTGGTTCACTCGGGTTTAGTTTGTAACTCGGTTTTGGTTTTGCTTAATCGATTTATGACTGTTGAACAGCGGTATACTACTGTTGCCTTTTTTTCTTAGTCTTTTGTCGACGTAACCTGCTCCTGGCGTACTTATGTTGAGTTCACTTGATATTACTAATTATTATGATGGGGGAATAATACGATGTTAAATCATCTCAATGACATTTATTGCTCACAAGGAAGCTATTAAATCAAGAGTTCCATATGTTGAGGTTGTCCCTTCGAAAATTTTACAGACGCCATGACGAGTTGGTTGACCGTTACGGAATATCCGTTGCACAGATGATATCGGATATGTTCTTAATGTTGTAACTAAAATCCCGTTCCCTTTCCACGACTGAGACCTACCGAATTAGACTTTTTACCGGGTTTGTAATAACATGAGTAACAAGACGGGTGCCACATGTGGAGCAGGATCTGCTTACATTCCGAAGCACCTGAGATAACACCCAGTTTTTGGTGGGAGTTGTGTTGCTAAGTGTTCAGTTTTCTATCTTGTGTCTTGTGTAATATTGATTGTCTGTTTGTCTGTTTGTCTTTTTTAACCATGGCGTTGTCAGTTTATTTTCGATCTATGAGTTGGAATGTCCCTCTTGTATCTTTCGCCCCTCTTTTACTGCGAAGAACATCGTGATATTGATTATCAACATCTGAAAACCTTGTCCACCATATTGATTCGACATTTTTCATCCGATTGATTGAACCTCGTATCACTGATGTCTTTTATATCTTCTGATCGATAAACCTATAGGTTTATTTGGCCGAAGAAAAAAAAATATTTGGACAAATTACTTGTCATTTTTTTAGACGTTCATGCTGTACGGGTACCGCCATACTAATTGGACATTTGCTACGGCTCTTTGACCATGTATGGCCATTTTAAGGATACTGATACATTCTTCTAATTGCTAAAATCACCTCAACTAACATTGAAACGTTTAACATGAGTTATGGACATTGCTTTGTTTTCACCAATTTGTAGCAAACATCATCTTGTGAACCTTACGTATATATGTACTTTATTTTTTTCCTGACTTTTCACTGTTATGCAAATTTAGTTTTACATTTTTGGCGAAATTATAAGAATTTTTATATAATTAGCATTTGTTTTTTTTTTTTTTTTCACTGTAACGTAGTCAGTTTTCTGAAACATTTGGTAGTTATTTTTTCTCTCAAATGAATATCTAGAAAAATGCCAACATCTTCAACAATCTACTCATAATTTGGAGACTTCTACGATGCGTATATATTTTAAGGACATTTTTCCACACAGTATCTTCCTTTTGAGACATTATCAATATAATGAAACATTTTCTTTTTATTAATAAACAGTATCTATAACAGCACATTATGTAATTTGAATATAACACTTAACAATTAACTTATACGAGTATTTAAAATAAAATGTAAAAAACATTGACAAATAAATAGCATATGGGTCAATATCCTTAATTAATTTCCCATAGGCGGTAATGGTAACGTTTTTCCTGTCGCTTTATCCATATCGTTAACTTGGATATGTATGATAGCTCGTTTCGAAGCTGAGACATTTTCACATATGTGGTTAAATTTTCGGGGTACGAAGTGAGATTATAAATGGAAGATGTGGTATGATTGAAAATTAGACTACTCTCCACAAGAGTCTAATGAATTACGGGCTCCTGACTTGGGACAGCCACATACATACAGATTGTGGCGGGAAGCGGGGTTACTTTTTCCGTAAATTAACATACCCCGAAAATCCTTTTGTGATGCGACTCCTCGTGATAAAAAATCCCTTTTTTAACACAATAAATTCTTTGAAAATTTTAATACTTTGATCACATTTAATAGCTCCATAGAATTTACACATTTATTCTATGTACCTCTACCTTCCAAATAAACATAAATGGTTAAGTTCAGTTACTTGTTTACACACAACTTTTGTGTTCCTCAATTTGATATTGACCAATACTGAATCCCATAGTTCTAATGTTTCCAAATACTCTTGTGTGATCTTCATCTGTATGACTTTCTGAATAAATCTGTGTATTTTTGTCCATTTCTGGGAAAATAAAGTTGTTTCAGCACTATTAGGCAATGACCCTTTTAACACTATATTTATTCATTCTGAATACAATGTGTACGTATAATTAATTTCTTACAGTTTACCTTCACTAGTCTTAATATGGACTTAACATCTGATGATAACCTTTAATTACAATACACAGACCCTGTTAAAGCATTTAATAAGATTTTCTGGTGCCTAAAAGTGCATTTTGACTGATAAATTATGCAAAAATGTAGATATAATAAAAAGAAAAATACGTTATTAGTTTTACTACTGGAAATCTGGTATATTCAACTATAGAAACCAGTCTAAACTACTGTGAATGTTATTGTTATCATATGATTAAAGTGCAATGAAGTGCAAATTTTCGAAACTGGTCATTTCACATAATTCTATTTGAAAAAAGGTTTTTTGAATTGGATTTCAGTCTAAACCCTTTATCATTGAGAAATGCACATGAGGTTTATAAGGAAACATTGTAACATTACTCGTCTTATAATGTCATTAAATAATTACCGATTAAAATATTGCTAAGTACAGTTTGCAGCGTTACAAGACGAACAGTTGCGTATAACTCTAAATGTCGAATGTCGAGTCGAAAAGATTAGTAACTAAGCATTTTTATATAATATCAATACCATAGCAACAGTTTTCATATCAGCCTATTGTCAACATATTGACTGTAATCTCAAATGCATAAAAACCATAAATATACAATTTAGAGCTTGCCTTATAAAACACAATTCTTACCAGTTTTTAAAGTTCGTTCACATGTTGTACTGTTACACCACTATTCCAGGATAGGGGAGGGTTGAGATACCGCTACATGTTTAATCGCGCCACATTCTGTATGTATGTGCTTGCCCCAAGTCAGGAGTCTGTAATTCAGTGGTTGTCGTTTGTTGATGTGTTACATATTTGTTTTTCGTTCAGTTTTTTTTTTACATAAATAAGGCCGTTAGTTTTCTCGTTTGAATAGTTGTACATTAGTCATTTCGGGGCCTTTTATAACTGACTTTGTGGTATGGGCTTCGCGCATTGTTGAAGGCCGTACGGTGACCTTTAGAAGTTAATTTCTGTGTCATTTGGTCTCTTGTGGAGAGTTGTCTCATTGGCAATCATACCAGATCTTCTTTTTTGCAGTAATTAAGAACTTTTTAAACCTCTATTTTGCCGTCTCAGGTTGAATAGTAATGATTTGTCTGAAACTGAATAAGACAAAAAATTTACTCAGGTTGTGTTGTCATTTTGATTTAAATACATAAGTATTTTTGAGAAAGAAAAAAATCAATTCTTGAAAGTTTTTTCATAACAAAATAGAGATGCTTTCCCCTTGAGGCTTATCAATCTTCATTTAAACTTTTTGTATGAGGAGCAATAAGTGGTAGCTTAATATTGCCTTTTTCAAGTCAATAACAAGTGATCTCGGCCCCTCTCGGGTAAACAGAGCTTTGATTGTGCCTAAAACAAGTTCTCAGCTCCCCGCCAGTAATGCATTTCAAAAGCGAAAAAATTGTTTTTAGATAATGTGTATCTAGAACCAGCTGTGATAAATATGTATATATAAAAGACAACTAACCTTCATTTTCACAATTTTCTCTACATGGTGTACAAGGTGCAATCATGAATAAAACAATTTTCTTGTAAATTGGGTCAATATCTTTAATTGATATTCCAAAGGCGGTAATTGTAGCGTTTTTTCCTGAAGCTCAGTCCATATCGTAAATTAAGATATGTATGATGGCTCTTTTCAAAGCTCAGGCATTTTCACATATGTGGTTAAATTTTCGGGGTAAAAAGTGAGATTACTTTTCCGTAAATTAGCATACCCGGAACACCCTTTCGTGATAAGGCTCCTCGTGTTAAAAAATTCCTTTTTTGAGACAATACTTTCTTTGAAAATTTAATACTTTGAACACATTTGATAGCTACATAGATTTTAATCATTAATTCTGTGTTCCTCTTCTTTCCAAAACAACACAAATAGTAAAGCTCAGTCACGTGTTAAAAAAAGAATTATATCCAATATCACTACACAGAGATTTTTAACAAATGATAATTACATTATGAAATGATATTTATGTCGTTTTTTCCTTCACAATCCTTATCTCACATGGAGAGACGTGCAACATTTGATAGTCCTTACATCATCAAGGAAAGGATTTAATGACACATATTCTGACTGGTCAGTAAACGGAGCAAACAAGGAATGTAAGTTGTTGTACATAATCTCTTTTTACATCAATAATTTGTTTTATATTATTAAGTATATTCACCCCCAGTTTTTGGTGGGGTTCGTGTTGCTTAGTCTTCCGTTTTCTATGTTTTGTCTTGTTAACTATTGTTTATCTGTTTGTCTTTTTTCTTTTTTGGTCATGGCGTTGTTAGTTTGTTTTCGATCTATGAGTTTGAATGCTCCTCTGGTATCTTTCGCCCTTCTTTTAAAATTAATAGGATCATTTCATTCTCGGTAAAACTCTGCTTATATGGTTTATACACTGGTTGGACGGCATATAGGTTGACATATTCGTCAACCCATCATTTCAATTTTCTTTTTTTATTCTGAAATAAGTTGTACGAATTATGTCTACAACCTGTTTTTCCGATTGTTTTTAAAATGTATCTTTTATGTGATATTAAAAAACTGCTCAGATTCAAACAGAACAATCTAAGAATCTAGCATTATCAAATTTCTTAATGTCATGATTGACAACATATTAGTCACGTTTTGAGGAGGTGCTTTTTAATTAAATAATCAGCATTTCCATAGGACACAACTGTACTCTCCTTCTTTCCGACTTATCTCTTATTCATATGAGGCATATTACATCCAATACCTTTCCAGATGAGTGTAAAACAGCTGTCATTATCACTTAACTTCAAGTTTCGGTAAATAGATGGTGTCTTCTCGCTAAATTATACAAATTTGGTGAATGTGTTGAACGTATCTATTCCGTCGACCTTGTTATGAAAGACTGATTCAACAGGACATCATCACGATAGCGCAAGTTGGTTGGCTTTTACAGAAAATCTGTTTAACAGATGCTGACGGATATTTTCAAATGTCGTTAATACAATCCCTTCGTTCTTTTCGCGAATGTGAGATATCAAATTAGACTTGGGGATTCGTACTTTCAAGTGTTACACGACGGGTGCCATATATAGAGCCGAACATGCATACAGATCCCATGCATCTGTAATAAACCACAGATTTTGTTTGTATTCGTGTTTCATAGTCTTTAGTTATATATGCTTTGTTTTGTAAACTGTTGTTTGTCTTTTGGCCGTTTGGCAAAAAACGGAAGACGACAAAAAGACAAACAACATAACATAAAATACAACATAAAAAAATAACAACTAAGCAACACAAACCTCACAATGAAATCGATACTGATCGCAGGTTAACCGGGAGGGAAACAGATTATTCGTCTATGGTTACTTATAATGTTGCTCATGTAATTCTAGACCACAAGAGAGTGTCATGCAAATATCTAGAGATAGAACTAGTAAAAAACAAAGATCGAGGCATTTAACTAGACAACTACTATATTCTTTAATTTGTTTAATTATGCTCTCTTTAGTTTTGACTTATAGTTTTTTTTTTTTCATTTAAAAAAATACAATTATTGTAAATATAAATAAGTTTTCCAAACTCCTTAATATATTTTTGCAGTTAGCCAAGTCCTCGGGTATGGTCTAATGGATGCCAAAGCCATGGTCAATAAAGCTAAAACATGGGTTACTGTTCCAGTACAACACAGCTTTACAACGCTTACTAGGTTTCCGTTTATGTATGTATCCGTTGTCTCGTTTTTCGTTCATGTAATTAGACTTTCCAATATATATCAACAACTAAACAGATTTTCATTCTTAATTGTATCTGTATGATATCTAAGATTTAATCATATAATTTCTACATATCTTCACTTCTTGACATGAAAAAATACTCGATAGTTGTGGAAGTTCAACATTTACTATTATTTTAAAATAAGCAACTACTTATAATTTGAAATTCTCAATCAAATTTAACATGTCATATTGTCCATATTTTGAAATATAAATGTTGCACATGATATCAAAACTATTTCTGTGGCATATGACATAATAAAACAATATTTCGTACAAGCCAATTAGTCGGCATTTTTTTGGTGTTGACATGAATTATGAATAATGGTTTACAAAACTTCGAATTTTCGAAATACTTCAAAGGATTGTTAACCCCAAAAATAAATAACCTTAGAAGAGATTGGGAAAAACTTGAAAACTGTTTGGAATTTTTGGTCCTTAATGCTATTCAATTTCGTACTTTATTTGTCCTTTTAATTTTTTTTATTCTAGCGTCACTTGTGATTCTTCTGTAGACAAAACGGGCCTTTGGCGTAAAAAACGTAAAGCCTAGTAGTTATAATGAGTTTATTTGTACTGAGGTCAAATTGGAAATTGTGCAAATAAGTTATAAATTTCTTCTTTCATTTTAGTTCTACTAGTTTGTGGTCGTCAGACACAATGCACTTTTCCAGGAGTAATATTTTCATTCTTTACTTAGAACACGTTACAGTTCAAATAAAGTTCTCCTACAGTCGATATCGTGGTGAAACAGAACTATATCTTGTTTCTCCAAGCGGAACTGAAAGTAATTTACTTCATTACCGGCATGACGATGCAGGAAAACATAAAAGAAAAGGATGGTTGAAATGGACGTTCATGTCAGTTCATTTCTGGTGGGAAAACCCTGTTGGTACCTGGCGACTTAAAGTTGGTTCTTATAAAGGATATTCTATTGGTAAGTTTAACACCGTATATATCTTTTATCTGTTATCTAGAAAATAATTTTAATGATACTCATATAATTATTCATCTTATAGCTTTCATGACCTCTTACACAAGGCGGTCTCAGTAAAGCTTAATCAGCAGGTGAAATCGGTTTATCTTTGTGATAATCAATCTGCTTCGAATTCTTCAGATGTTCATTTATTGATAATGATAATTAAATTATTGATTTCCTTTTCTTTAAAATTAATTTGAGGATGTTAATTCCCATGTTGTATGGTTTCGAAATACTCTGTTTTTAATTAATTGATAGTTCTACAAATATCAATTAACTATCATTTTGTTTATTCCGTATTGTTAGAACTTGAGTATGTCTTTCAGAATTTGATTTTGAAGAAATAAGCAAAACGTATGTTCAGCGGACAAAAGGGCGCGTTTCTACGTGCATAACTAAAATTTTAAAACCGTTTGATGTACGCATAGTTTTGGTTAGTATGAGGTATATATAATTGACTTTTGAAATACTGATATTCAAAAGTCAATAAAATCACACATTTACCTCATCAAAAGACAGTTATTGCATAACATTAGATGAGCACTACATTAATTTGTATATATCAAATATACTGCATATTTATTTTGCAGTAACGCTGGTTTCCTGGTCTCTAACATTTTATGGTACATCACACAATCCAATAACACGTGAGTTTTGACAAAGTCATATATAAAAACAACCTACAATTTTTCTTTCCCTTTTTTCATACTCAGCTGTTATATTCATTCGTTTAAACCTCAATTGTTGTTATTTAAATAATTTGCGACCCGTTATTTGGTTATTGCTTTTTGTTTTCCTGGTTTATTTCATTACCTAGAGACATGCTCATATAAGGGATTAATAATGTTCTCAAAAATAAAGGCAACAGTAGATTACCGCTGTTCAAATGTCATAAATTGATTGAGAGAAAACCAATCCGGGTAACCAACTAAAACCGAGGGAATCCATAAACTATAATAAGAAAACAACGAAACAACAAAAACACTGAAGTGCAAAAAAACGACAATACATCACACATAGAAACAAACTTTTAGAAAACAACTGCCATATTCTTGACTTGGTACCTGTTACATGACATTTAAAGAAATAAATGATTGGTTTAACCTGGTTGAAGCTAGCCAAACCTAGTGCTTTATGACAATGCTCAATATACCGTTAAATGATAACATTACATGACAGGAATACAGTACAAATAAATGCAAGAACACTCAGGACAGAGAAATAAATCAGTAATATTAAAGTACATTTCGACATTTTAACCACAGAATAAAAACGAAGACCTAAAAATCAATTTAGTACAGTACACAAAAACAACATAATAGAATTACGAACTGTGTGTCTTGAAGTATAGATTCTGCGTTCTGACGTTGTTTATCATCTTAATAACGTTCGATAGTATTCTTGTATTTGTCTTTATTAATATTAATTTTACTGTTAAGTCTGTTTTTTGTGATATATATTTGACGTGACTCTGTACTTATGCATCCCGTCATTATGTTATTGTTCTATAATATTTTTATTCTCATCTTTCATTTTTTGCTAATGTGCTTTTTCTATATGACTTTTTGTGTATCTTTGATACATATGACGTGGCTCTGCACTGCTTACCTGCCAACCCTCCCGTTTTGAGCTTACCGGTCTGCTCCTGCGCGGGAGTATACAATCTCCCACTTTCGGATATTTTAACCCTGATTGACCAGTCTGACAACATAATTCCGTTTTTGTGTCACTGATGAGAGTAGTTTGAATAATTATTATTTCAATTTCTTTTGTTGACTATTTGCTTTAAGTACCCATCTGTTTTCAAATAACAAATATTGAACATATATTTTTAATCAACAGAAGAGCGAACAACAGTTCCAACAACACAGTCGAAAAATACAAGCGATCGAAAGTATGTTTGGACAGCAACCAACTCAGCATCGTTACCCACATCATTCACAGAACCGACATCAACAAGCAAAGCAGCACAGCTTGTAACAGTCACAACGTCAGATAAACTTTCAACAGAAACAGCAACAATCTTGGAGTGGACGACATTATCTACTCAGCCTACAACTTCATCAAGAGGAAGTGACTTATCTTTTTTAGGTAGTTATTATTGGTTGTTTGATTATACTCAACACATTAAAATTAAACTAAACGTTGTCTCTATTGTTTGAACATCGAGAGTTTAAATGAAGCCAACATTAGTATACCGCTGTTCACGCTGAGTAAATTGATTGTTTCAGTTATAAAATGTGACCTACAAAGTCTTAGTCAGATCTAAAACGTTCGGTTTCCAATGCTTACAAACAATAAATTAACAAAAATACCGATCTCAAAAGAAAAATTCAAGTCTTTTATCAAATGGCGAAACTATAGTCTGAAAACTTTTGCCATAATCCTGTAAGACAGTTGCATTAACACTCAGGACAGAGAAATAAATAAGTAATATTAAAGTACATTTCGACATTTTAACCACAGAATAAAAACGATGACCTAAAATCAATTAAGTACAGTACACAAAAACAACAACATAGAATTACGAACTGTGTGTCTTGAAGTATAGATTCTGCGTACTGACGCTGTTTATCATCTTAATAACGTGTTATAGTATTCTTGTATTTGTCTTTATTAATATTACTATTACTGTTTAGTCTTTTTTTTGGTGATATACATTTGACGTGACTCTGTACTTATGCATACCATCATGTGTCTGTTTTATTTTGTTCACTCATCGATATCGTTTTAATACAATTGAATTTGATACGACTGTCATACAAGTGAGAGGTTTAGCTAGCTATAAAACCAGGTCAATCCAACATTTTCTACATAAGAAAATGCCTGTATCAAGACAGGAATATGACAGTTGTTATCCATTCGTTTGATGTTTTTGAGCTTTTGATTTTGCCATTTGATTAGGGACTTTCCTTTTTGAATTTCCCTCGGAGTTCAGTAGTTTTGTTTATTTTACTTTTTCACAGTGCCACAAAAAGTGGCGTCGACGGTAAATTTCTAAAAAGTAGATATAAATCGAGATTAAGTTCGTTAAAATGCTTTTTAATGTATTTTATAACAATTACAAGAATATTGATATAGAATTGCGTTAGTAATTGTGCGACTAACTGCACTAACTAACTATGTTGGCCTATCTGAACAAGGCAAAATATGAATTAATTATTATTTCAATTTCTTTTGTTGACTATTTCCTTGAAGTACCCATCTGTTTTCAAATAACAAAAATTGAACATATATCTTGAATCAACAGAAAAGCGAACAACAGTTCCAACAACACAGTCGAAAAATACAAGCAATCGAAAGTATGTTTCGACAACAACCAACTCAGCATCAATACCCACATCATTTACGGAACCAACATCAACTAGCAAAGCAGCAAATTTTTTAACAGCAACAACGTCAGATAAACTTATAACAGAAACAGCAACAATCTCTGATTGGACGACATTATCTACTCAGCCTACAACTTCAGCAAGAGGAAATGACTTATCGTTTTTAAGTAAGTAATAATTGGTTGTTTGAATAAACTCAACAAATTAAAATTAAACAAAACGTAGTCTCTATTGTTTGAGCATCGAGAGTATAAATGAAGGCAACAGTAGTATACTGCTGTTCACGCTGAGTAAATTGATTGTTTCAGTTATAAAATGTGACATACAAAGTCTTAGTCAGATTTAAAACGTTCGGTGTCCAATGCTTTCAAACAATAAATTAACAAAAATACCGATCTCAAATGAAAATTCAAATCTTTTATCAAATGGCAAAACTAAAATCCGAAACCATTTGCAATATTCCTGTAAGACAGTTGCATTAAATTCCATTATATTCACAACACTGTGTGAACAGAAAATATAACACAAAATCAAAATGTATAAAATGTGGTACAGCAGTCAACATTGTGTTACAATATTTAACACTATAAAAAACGAATATGCCAACAAAGAAATACAAAAAAGCATATCGATAAAATACATTAGCAAAAATGAGAGACAAGAATACAAAAAATAACAAAAGCACAATAACAAAATTCCATGAAGTACCTACTGCTCATGAAAATAAGGATATTGGAGTTTGATTTTGATTAAGACTGTTAAGTGAACTCTTTTATGTAAGAAACATTCGACAAGCAAAAGAAGTTGTTCGCTTGGTATCTTTTATCTAGTAAACGGTAATTTGTTTTCTTTAATATCGATAATTTACTCGATTCCCGCTATCAGTTCATATTCCAAATCTGTGCTATATTTTTAATCGTAATACATTAATGATAAGAAAGGTTACAAAACAATTATACTCTGCAATCAAACAATGTCATGGTGACCAATGTTCGCTTGTTGAATAAAACTGTATTCGTTTTTTTTATGAATGCAAGTTTACAGGAAATTTGTTATTTGCTTAATTTTATATCTTTTCATTAAAACTCAATAAATACACAACATTGAGCATCCTATGAATACTAATTATTAATGCAAAGCATGTATTATGATAATTTAACTGAAATATAACTTTACAGCTTTCCATTCTTAGATATTGGATTTTTTCAGCCAGCGACAATAAGCCAGTTATCATAGGAGGATTTGTAGCAGGTATCTTACTCTTAGGTGCTGTTCTTCTGTTCATCAGGTGGAAAATGAATGTTGGGCGTAAAAAAGCTGTTGATTCAACAACCCCATCCACAGCACCTGCTGTGTTCACTGCTTGAATGGGAACTGTCACAGAAAGAAAAAGTAAAAAAACCTACTATAATTTCAGGGTTTAACAGTAATACAATGCGTTGGCATTATTCGATGTATGCATAACTTGTTATATATATGTTCAGGACTATATGAGTATTTGGACCATATGGTCATGACGATATAATTATACCTCGTATGGTCCAATTCTACGCGTTTGTTTTTGTCATATTTTTGAAATGTGCACGAGAAACATTAACAATGCGCAATGCTCATGTATCCAACAATTGTATTTTTCTACAGCAAGTAAGAAACCAAAGTAGTATGTTTTGTACAAAAATAATTTCTCAAAATGTTGTATTGCAATTGCTTTTTTTAAATAAAGAATCCTAGAAAGTAAAAACATACTGTATGATAATTAGAACTTCTTTCGATGGAACACATAACTCGTTTTCCAAATAAAAAACGACAACGGTTGCAGACATGTTTGATCTTTCACCTTTTGTCTTCAATTGGTTTTCCAGTTGTCCTGTCTTATCTATATCAATTAAAAATGTTTTGATCTTATTGACTTGCCATACTTTATTCAAACAATTGACTTCACTTTTGAAAGTTCATTTATATTTTCAAAGTAATCGTTCCACGTCAACAATATGTCATTTTTCGCGACAAATCGATGATTACCATGTATAAATATGTTTACTATAACTGTAACGTGTGATTTAAATTCATTTTAATAATCATCGTTACTGATTACAATATGGTTCGATAACTCAAAACTTGATTTTGATATACTCGTTTTTGTTGACAGCTCAAACGGTTATCTTTGTGAATTTCGAAATCGATTATATCAAGAAAGTAAAGGAATAGGGTTTCCAGTATAAAGACGGGAGAAATCCAACATCCTTTTTTATGTAAATACCAAAAGAGAGAAGGACGGATTGTGATTTTCTAAATTCCATCCTTCTTGAATGATGTAGATATATATGTGGGATTTCCTTTGCGATAGTTTTTTGCTTTTGTTTTGTAATTGTTAGTTTACATTTTCTCGAACAACATCAATCAGTAACCAAATAGTGCGGTGACAGAAGTGTAAAAAATCGTCTAGATTTCGAGTTAAATCTCCCCAAATACACGCGGCTAAAAATTGTCTTAACTTAAAGACAAATATGTGTTCTTTATTTTACATCCTGTTGTAAGAATTTCGTATGGTCATAATTTTCTAAAAATCGTTTTAATGACTAGTAATATATTGGAAAGTTTGCAACTCCCCTTGTTCAAAATGAAATTTTGGAAATATTTGCGAACATTTGAATAATATATTTTTTTCCCTAGCCATTATAATATGTCAAAAAGTTTTATTCGGTATTCTATTCTATCCTAATCTATAAAATAAGTTAAGTTCTGACTGTTTAAAATTGAAGTCATTTTTAATGCAAATTCAAACACAAACTTTAGTTTCTTCTTCTTTCAATGTAGTAGTAGTAAAAACTATCCCATAATAGTTTAAGCATATAGTACTTCATAAAACTTTTACTGATAAAAATTTCAGAACCTAGTTATAAAAATGCCTGAAGATTTCAACGGAAAAAGTATAAAGTAAAAACTGCAATTTCACTACGGAACTTAATCACTTCCCTTTCATCACATTTTGTTCTATTATTTAACTCAATTGATATATGAAATTACTACTTTTTTCGCTATTATATACAAATATTTTCAATTAAGTGCACTAATATATGTAAAAAGTTTGTATATATATGCTCATATTTTATTTTTTACCATTATCCGTCAGAAACACTTGATCAGAAAAGTGTATTTATATAAAATCAAAAATAATTGGCGGATAGTTTCAGTTAAAATTCTGCGACATGTACAATTCGTCAAGTCCGTTGATGTTTTTTCTTTCAAGTCCAAGGAAAGGATGTAAGTTAGTGGTTAATTTCATGCATTGCATAATATGCCCCATAAAATCAACTGAAAGTTTGAGTACATTAACCAAGAAAGGGCAGTCGACTTTTGTTTCTGCAATGCACAAACGAGTGGATGAGTTGTACATCAAGGTTATAGATGAATTTGTTTCATTTGATAGCTGTGACTTTGGAGAAATGCAGGCAGTATACCATCGTTCATGCTACAAAAGTTACAACAGTATTCAGAATTGTTCTCCCTTTCTGAGTGAGGAAGATTCTAACCTGACGACAGACAATCATCGGACTGTTGTCTCCAAGATTCGGGTGTTTATACGCATTCTACAAGTCTGTGATTCGACTTGAGTTCTGGTACAATTTGTTGCAACAAAATGTTTCAGAAATATTTGAATCTCTGCAAGTTTGATCAGATGGACTTATTGAGAATGTTTAATCCGTGGCAGCAAGCAATTACGATAATTTGAGAGTAGAAATAGTTTATCACCCATCTTTTAAACTTCAAGCACTATATCTTTCTGGTTGCATTAGAGCACATTGGCTAGAAACGAAAACAAAACAAACATCTGAATCCCTAGAAGCAGAAATCACAGATCAGATCACGATACAGCTTTTACTAATCTTATATTGGCTATTAACAACGATTTTATTGTGAAAAAAAGCATTCCTCGTGACAACGTTACTTAATATATAAAGATATTTCTTTCCTACTGCAAGTTAAAATATTCTATTTGGAAACTACGTAGAAACACAGTTTTCATACAACCACAACAAGGTCAAAGAGAATCTAACATTATATTCAGTAGAAACACAACTACTAGGGATACCATGTCAACTGCTAGCTAATTAAATGCTGACCTCAAAATCTCTGAGATGCAGGCCTCTATTTCAACAATAAAAGACACAAATAAGGATCATATATACATTTCGCGGCATGTAAACTTAGAAATTGTTGAGTCAATTGTCACTGTGACCAAACAGTTATACTGCTTTACATTCAAGATTTACAAATGTATCATGAGTTTGGTTCAAACACACATTGTTGAAACAGTAAAAATGGCAATGGATTTTGTGAATTGTACAGTGAAGTGCGACTCTAATTTCAAGTATTGTCAACCATAAAATTGTGCGAATTCAAGATGCTGTGCACGTCCCGTGTGTTTCTTGGATGGGGTGGGGGTCTTGTTCAAGAAGGTGTTGATAACATTAATTTAAATACGGAAACAACAGATAGAGAAACACCTTTCAGTCAATGGGATGGGCAGTTGTTCAGGTCAGTAATATGGATACAAGATCATTCTTTCACATTCAGGCCTGAATTTTCATTTCTTTTCATTTCTCAACCATTATTGACTTGAAGCCGAGTTATATATCATTAGTATTTACTACCATGACATAAATGTCTATTGGACAAGATCATGCCATTAGGATCTTTGACCAACAACTGTTTGGGAAAAACAAATTCTGCATGTGCCTGTTCCAAGTCGGGACCCTGTAATTCAGTGGCTGTCGTTTGTTTCTGTATATCACATTTGTTTTAGTTCACTATTGGGTACGTTAAATCAGGCAGTTAGATTTTTGGTTTGAATTGTTTTACATTTGTCATTTCGGGGACTTTACGAGCCGACTATGTGGTATGGCTTTTACTCATTGTTGAAGGGCGTACGGTGACCTATATATATATGTTAACTTCTGTGTCAATTGGTCTCTTATGGAGAGTTGTCTCATTGACAATCATACCACATCTTCGTATCTTTATAGTGAATACATTTTGATAAAAGATATAACATATACAGTTAAGTCTGCCTCATATCATGACTTACATCTAGAAATTGACAATGAGGGTCGGTTGAAAACAAAACTTTACAACAAAAGAGATAATTTCAGCTTCCCATTGTGAACTTTCCTTTTCTATGTAGCAACATTCCAGCAGCGCCTGCATACGGAGTATATATTTCCCAATTGATACGATATTCCAGGTCTTGTATTTCCTAACATGATTTTCTTGATAGAGGGTTGCTGCTCACAAGGAAACTATTAAACCAAGAATTCCAAATGGTGAAGTTGAAATCATCCTTTTCGTAAATTTTATGGACGCCATCACGAGTTGGTTGACCGTTATGGAATAACCATTTCACAGATGATATCGGATATGTTCCTTTTGTCGTCAATTGACCCCTTTTCACCACGAATGTGACCTACCGAATTAGACTATTTATCGGGTTTGTAATAAAATGAGCAACACGATGGGTGCCACATGTGGAGCAGGATCTGCTTACCTTCCGGAGCACCTGAGATCACCCCAGTTTTGGTGGGGTTCGTGTTGCTTAGTCTTTCATTTTCTATGTTGTGTCTTGTGTACTATTATTTGGTTGTTTGTCTTTATATTTTTTAGCCATGGCATTGTCAGTTTATTTTCGATCTATGAGTTTGACTGTCTCTCTGGTATCTTTCGCCCCTCTTTTGAAGTATTCGGTACATTGCAAGGAGAAATAAGAGGCTCCAAGTAGCCTGTGTCACTCAACTGATATTTTTATTTTATTGATGCATAAATTAATGCAACCGTTATACCTTTGGTTTAGTTATAAGCCAAAAACTGCATTATATCCCTATCTTCTATTTTTAACCATTTCTGCCATGTTGGTTGGCAGGCTGGGTCATCGGACACAATTTTTAACTAAGATTGTGGCCAAGTTTGGTTAAAGTTGTTTCAGAGGGTTAGACTTTTATACAACAATTGTTAAAAATTTACTGTAAAGGGCAACAACTTCTTATGGGGTCAATTGACCATTTTGGTAATGTTGACTTATTTGTATATCTTACTTTGCTGAACATTGCTTTTACTCTTTATATAGTGAATTTAGCTGTGGCAAAGGTATAAAAACAGTCTAGTTTGAAAGGTTTTTCAACATAGAACAAAAAACCATCCAGACACTGTTTGAACTGTGCTGGATATTTCTAATGCGCGTGACCTTTTTTGGGTCGAACAACCGGGGACAAGACAAAATAACTACATCATCAATTGTGTTTATTAATAGCTTTCTCGAATCCAGAAATCTTCTCTTGGTAATATAATACATTATACTCAATACAGGGTCCTGCGTTGAAGGATACACTTTTCTGGAATTTTCAAGCTGGTGAAAGTTTTAGAATGAAACAATGCTGCAAGTTGTTTCAATGTAATATATATGGTAGTTGTACCCTACAGACAGAACCAGATATAAATGTACTTGTCTGAATGTTTGTTTTTCGGTAAGGAATCTGAAGAATAATCAATATTGTTCCCCTGACATCTTTTAAAGTGCTACTAGAATCACATATTACATTAGGAGTTGTTGTTTTCATGACAACATCCGTTTGACATCTGTGTTATCCTGGGCGACGTG